TTAATTAATCTTGGAGCATTGAATATCCAGCTCTGGCTCGTAGCCCTTATTTTATTCTTATTTTTTTATATTGTTACACTTTTAGCGTTTTCGCTACCGCTCGGAGATCGTTTTATTTCTAGTTTAGTTTTCTTAATTTTTTTTTTTGTAGAAACCAAAAATTATCATAATGACGCCAGGCTTAAGGAAAAATCGATGCATTGAAATAAAATTATTAAAGTCCTTATTTGCATATTGAAATCGCTGTCAGTTATATACTTTAATAATTTAAAAATTAATTTATTATTGGACCAAATGCGAGTAATATTGCATCGCCAAACGTTAAATAGATAATATTTTTTACTGTAACGTTTGTTTAAAAAAATTAATAATTAATGTTATGAGAAACTGAAAACTTGAAATTATGATAATACATCATTTATTGCATTCTAACTAATCCTCTTTACGAATTATTTTCAGATTCAATTTATATTAAATGTAATGTAATATTGATAATTGGGAGTAAATTAAAAATTCAAACTCTTATTTAAAAAATAATTAAATTACGAGAAGTTCTCCTTATTTTCATTCTAACTAGAAACCGACAATGATTAAGTTATACAGGGTGATTCAGAACAACCGTTTGTCCTTAAAGTACCGTGTTTTTGACATAATTCTAAGACTATTTTTCCTTTACCAAAATTTTATCTGAAGCTTAGTTTTTAAGTTATAAGGAAAAATAGTTAGCAAATTACGGGACGCACACACAAGGTAGGCAGGAGCGGCGCAAATGATTGTCCGACGCGGGCGATTACTACGGACGCTCAGCTGCTCACTACACGCGATAACGCACTGACGTACATGCACGTGTGTGTGCGTGTGCGTGTGCGTGTGCGTGTGCGTGTGCGTGTGTGTGTGTGTGTGTGTGAGCATGCTCCACAATAAATTTATGCTTACCTTGATTCGATGTCTCGTAATGATGTAGGAGGCTTAAAAAAGTTCGATAACTTTTCCGTGGATAACAGTAAAGGGACACGTTCCCACACGGCGACAAACGAATCACTTGGAGTAATAAGTTTTTCATTTTATAAATTGAATTATCACAACACTTTCGCGCACTTACTCGATTTACTTACGCGATTTATTCACGTACTTAATTTATTTTCAAACTAATCTATCGGTTTCATTATTAGTTAATCACTATCGATTAAGTATTCGGCGGCTGAAAATTACTCGGAGAAAGAAACACTACACATTACACTAATCAACTAAAAGTATTGCTTTCGTATAAATTGTACCTTTCACTTTCACACACGGATTTACTCACGCACTTGATCGATAAAAGTTACGCACTCAAATTATTCCGTATTATTACAAATCAATATTATTACTATTAATCACTATCCGTTACTCATTCGGCAACTTAAAATCACTTTAAAGGAAGAAACGCGTTACAGTACACGTTACTCGACACGGAGACTCTGCTCGACAGCAACAAACAGCTGATAGGGTTATGTAGATAATCTAGGATTCTAGGGTTATGTTGGTACTAGCGCTATCGAAAGCGAAAGTGACTGTGCGTGACTGGCGCGCGAGGCGCTACCACGTAATTGGCTGAAGCCTCAGCATTGAAGATGCGGCAGTTA